CTCTTAGATAAAATTCCAGTGAGAATCTTTTTGGTTTGTTGCTTTTTTTAAAAAAAAAAAAAAAAAAAAAAAGATAGCCGGGCGTGGTGGCACACGCCTTTAGTCCCAGCCTTTAGTCCCAGTACTTGGGAGGCAGAGGCAGCGGATCTCTGAGTTCAAGGCCAGCCTGGTCTACATAGTGAGTTCCAGGACAGCTAGGGCTACAGGGAGATCGTGTCTCAAAAAGACCAAAATAAAAAGATAAGTTCTTACTGTGTAGCCCAGGCTGATCTCAAACTCCATAGCACAGGTTGGCCTTGAACTCATGGACCTCATGCCTCAGCCTCCTGAATGCTGGATTACAGACCTGCACCACCACAGTAAGCTTTCCAGTCAGCATTTCTGCTACCTCTCTCAGTAACAATATAGATTCAAAGACACACTTTAATACTGTGTAGGTGGCCACAAAGATAATACAGTCTGACAAGGATGCTTGCAGTCACAGTAATCACAACCCAATAAAACCAGTGCTCAACAATGAAACACAGTTACCTTCTCCTAGACACTGTCCACTTGGAAATTCAGAGCGGTATTTCCTAAATAGTCCCTGGATGGAATTGAGTCCTGGGAACCAGAAAGCAAAGGGAAGGCAGACTCTGCATATGGAAACCCACGGGCTAGAACTGGACACAGAAGATGGCGCTGGGAGGACAGGACCCACATGGTAGCTATGAACCATCCTTAACTCCAGTTCCAGGGGAATCCGAAGCCCTCTTCTGACCTCGGTGGCACTGCATGACACGGGTACACTCACATGCAGGCAATACACTCATAAACATAAAATAAAAATAAAAATTTAAATTAAAAAAAAAGTTACTCCAGCTAGGCCTGTATTCACCTGGCTAGAGACCACCCCCCAGGAAGGCTACTGACTACCACAGAACCTGCCGGCTTTCTTAAAGGCAGAACATGACTCCCTTTCTACTCTCCATCTCCCTTTCTGGCAGCTACCCGAGGTTCAGTTTGCCTGCCCTGTTGGTTTTCTTTCAGTCGCCAATAAAACTGCTCATGCCTTCTTCCAAGTCTGTTTCCAAATTCCTTTATTAAGATAACTAAGAACCCCAAAAGAGAACATTGATTTCTCCAGTAACACCAAGGCTCCTTTTGTTTACCACTAGGTGAACGGTGGGCACTCACTAAAGATTTCAACAGAAACATGACTTGTCACCTACTTCCTAAAAATAGCAGTGCCCTTTGTGGTGGACACAGCACACCAGCCCCACCCGCCCCATTACACACCTCTTTCCCCAGAGATGCTGTGTGCACCAGGCTTAATTTGCCTGGTCTCCCTGTGAGCAGCCTCCAGTTCCTTCCCCACCCCTACCCAGTCTGGAAAGCCAGCCCCTGGCCCCAAAGGGGAGGACTCTGGATCCCTGATTCCCTCAACTTCGTTCTTTGCTACTGAGGCAGTGGGACCTTCAGGGGAACAAGTCCAGAGAACTAGACACTAGAATGATCACAAAGGGCCAGCCTTGACCAGCACACGCACCACCTCAGCTTTATGGTTCCTTGGTAACAGGCTCACAAGATAAACACGGACACCCTGCCTCCTCACTAATCTCAAAACCCTTCTGCAAACATCTTGTCATCTGATTCTCCATTGGAGTCTTTGTCATCCAAATCACTAAGGTCATGTGGCTCAACAGCTTGTCCCAGATCACCAGGCAGATGAGAACGGCCCTAACTCTTCAGAGCCTCCATTCTTGGACACATCAGCGCAGGCAGGACCAGCAAGGGCTCAGTCGTTGTGCTTGTATGGTTAGGATCCTGCCCTGCAACAACCAACTGTATGAGATATTTCATGGGTTACATGGGGTCAACGTGCCCAGTGTAGAATGGTTTAGTGATTATTAAAAGGTTCCTTTCCAAAAAGAGTTCAACTGCTTTTACAAATGTCAAGGAATCCTTGGTTTCTCCATTTACCCTAAAAGCCTTCCTATCTAGGCACCACTCAAATTCCCGATTTTCTGGGAGGAATGGGATCAGTGGTTAATATGAAGAAAAACCCACAGAAACGGGACTATATTCTGGCTGGGCTTGTGAAACAGCCACACCCACTCGCTCCCTCCCATACCCATGGGACCAATTGCCAGGAACTGCTTCAGGCTTGACAGGGGAAAACACAGCGAGGAGAGGAGGAAAGGCCTCTGGCCTTCTGGGAACAAAGCATGCATTCCTGCCCACTCTGGGTTTCTTTTCTCCCACACAGCTCCTTCTCCAGTCATCTCAAACCACCCATTACCATCATCACATGACCAAAGCATCACCAATCAATCCTCCTAAATAGAGCAACGGAACTGAGATAGCTCTTTCCAGTGACCTGGTTACAAAAAAGAGCTGAATGAAGCAGCTCAACTTGTTTTAGTTTTGGGTTTTTAAAAAATTTTTATTTTTTTTAATCATTTTTTTTCTTATGTGTATAAGTATACTGCTTGCACGTATGTGAGTGTACCCCTGTCATGCAACGCCGCGGAGGTCAGAAGAGAGCCCTCGGATTCCCCTGGAACTGGGGTTAAGGGGAACTGGAGTTAAGGCCACTACTGGCTCATAGCCTCCATGTGGGTGGTGGGAATCGAACCCGGGTCCTCTGCAAGAGCAGTCAGTGCTCTCAACCGCTGAGCCATCTCTCCAGCCCCGGTTGTTTTTGTTTTTAACAAATACTTAAACTGTTTATTGCATTTATTTGGTGCGCCTGTGTGTGCACAGGCATTAGAGAACCACAAGTCACAGGTCAGAGGACAACCTGCAGGAGCAGTTCTCTCCTTCCACCATCAGTCCTCAGGTTGTAAGGCTTGGCTCCAAGCACCTTTACCTGCTAAGCCATCTCTCCAGTGCTGTTTTTTGGGACATGGGCTCATGTAGTCCAGACTGCACTCAAATGCACTATCTCTGTCTCTCACTTGTGGGAGGTTAGGACAACCTATGAGAGTTGGTTTTCCACCCACTGAGCCATCTCCCCTGAACTCCTGATCTTCCCACCTCCACCTCCCAAGTGCAGGTAACACTACACTCAGCTCCCAAATGGTTGAACTTGGTCTTCAGCTCCTCTCTCTACATGGATTCATTTCTACCTCATTTCGCCACCTTCCTCTGCCTATCCTACAGATCCAATAATTAAACTACTGAGACATCACTTCTCCTGCCTCTCACTCAACTGACATTTCCTGCACACCTAAAAAGACAAGGCCTATCCTGAATGCTTAGAAAGACTAAGAGATAATTCAGAAACACCCTTCTGTCTCCAAAGACTGAGACAGGGCTGGGATAAGACACGTGGTCAAATTCTCCAAAGGCCAGTCCTGTGGGCCTTTAGCTGTGGGGCCAGTAGCTGTGGAGTGAAGGAGGAGGGGCAGCCTGTGCCCAGAGCATGCAGGGCCGTGAGAACGCCTTGTGAGTGAGAAATGGGCAAATAGAGGAAAGAGGACAGAGGGGTAGAGCCAACACAGGGCAGTTCAAGCTGGCTGCACCATCTACTGCCATTATTATTATACCACTCATTAGCACTTGCATCTGATTACTTACATGCCAGGCTGTGCCTTGTACACTTAAAATCTAATGAGCAACATCCACCTGCGACACACCAGGTACAGTGCACCAGATGCCACCTGTTCTAACTGTTGGTCAGTACCTAAGCAGTTAAAAATATTAACTCGCTAAATCCTTATAATAAACCTACAAAATAGTATAATTACTCCCATTTTACAGATGAGGAAACGAAGGCATTGAGATCAAAGAGATGGGGGTTGGAGGGCAGGAAGGATCCCAAGGTAGTGAACATCCAGTGTTGGAGCAACAGATTTCCCTGCACTCACCTGGCCCCTCTGGTTACAGAACGCCTTGCAGCAAACAGAGCCTTCAGGGAAGGGCCCTGTTAATCATTCTGAAATCCTTCACAACTGACTGAAGCAAGGAAGGAATGAAGGAATATAATGTGAGCAAGTTCAGGGAGAGCAGGGCAGTTGGCCCTGTCTTGCAAGACTCCAGGCAGGTCCAACCTTTTGACACAGTCATCTACAAAATTCACACTTGAGGATAGCCCAATTTAGTTACCGAAAACAAAAAAAAACAAAACAAAACCACATAATATTCTACGTTTATGATTTTTGTGTTGGATCGCATTCATGTCTACTTTGCGCCCCACGCAGCCCTGGACATGCCTGTGTGTAGTCCCTCCCGTGTTTAGGGTAAGGCTCCGCGACAGGAACAGCGAGGAGAAGGAAGCCTGTAGAGCGAGCAGAGGGTTCGTGCTGCTGGGATAGTGAGGGGCAGGTTCCAAGAAACCCAGTCTCCATAGAAACCCACGGATTGAGGGGCGGGGACAGAAAAGCCCAAAGCAGAAGGTCCCCAGCTACAGCTCAGTTCTTTCCCCTCCGGACCTCAAAATGAGGAACTTCCCATCTCCCTTTTAAACCACCACACCTTTCTAAGCCTTGAGGGACCTGGCCTGCGTCCCCGGGAGGTGGGGGAGCCATGTCCGAGAATCCCTCCAGAATCTGGGGGATCCAGCTGGATGAGGAAGGGAACGCAGCACTTGGCACGATCCCGCAGCCTCTCACTAACTCGGGAGCGAGCCTTAAACTGCAGAGTGGTAGCTCCAGGCTCCCGCGTCCTGCCAGTTCCGGAGAGAAGTTCCAGAAGGCAGCCTTCCCTACTTGCTGGACTCGGCTCACCCTCTCCCGGAAGCGCACCGCACTTGGGGAACCCGGCAGGGTCGCCGCGGCCCAGGCCACCCCACGGTCCTCGCACGGCTCTGGACGCAGCCTCACCTGCCCTACGCCCTGCCGAGGCCTGCCGCGAGGTCCAGACCCCGGCCGCGCCACCGCATCCGGACTCTGGCCTTGGGAGACCCGCGATCCCTGGGCAGGGCAGTAAGGCGCGCACCGTCGCCCGGCTCGCACCCCAGAATCGCCCGGCCGCCGGGGCCTCGCCGCCCCCCCGCCCCCCCCGCGACCCTCACTCACCTGGCGCGGGCCGACGGCGCCTGGGTTCCGCCTGCGCTCGATCCCAGCAGGCTCGCAGAGATCCGGACCCGCGGGCGTCGGGGTGGGCCGGGGCGGGAGGAGGAGGAGCCAGCAGAGCGGAAAGCTCCCGGGTGTGGCCTCCCCACGCGCCCCGGGGTGGAGCACGTGGAGGAGCGCGAGGGGGGAACAGGCGGGGCCTAGGCGAGGCCACGCCCACAGGTGAGTCTGCGCGCGGGCGGGGCGCTGCAGGGGAGGCGCCCGAGGAAGCCGAGCGCCTTCCCCTCTGGCTCGGTGGGCGGAGGACGCCGCGACTGTGCCATTGACTCCCTCTCGCCCATAGCCGCACTGGACTGCAGGAGAGCAGGGCATTCACGCTGGTGTCTGTTGGTAGACACTACAGTGATGGAAACTTTCTACATTAAAAGATCATCTAGTGGGGCTGAGGATTTAGCTCAGCGGTAGAGCGCTTGCCTAGCAAGCACAAGTCCCTGGGTTTGGTCCTCAGCTCCAGAAAAAACAAAGGCCACCCAAAATACGGGAGGAGGACCCTTCCTAATGGAAAAAAACTGACGCACTACCTAGCCGGGTGATGAGGCTGAGTAGCATCAGCAGTGACAGATTGTATTGACTATGTACTGCGTGGGAGTCTTCCTCCCAAGAACGCATAGCCCCAATGTCATGGAAAAACACCTGACAAGCCCCAACTGGGGAGCTCAAGATTGTCCATGTTGGGTCCGGGGGTTGGAGAATAATTGGAGACCACTCACCAGTATTTAGAATTTAGTTGAATTTATTGAAAAAGTCCAATCCCAGAGCGACTAGTCGGTGCGGAGTCCAGAAGCCAAATTGAAGTTTAGCTCCTTCCGGGCTTGAGGTCGGGCCCCCAGAATCAGCAAGAAAGAATTACGGCATTCGCCCACCAAGCTGAACTGAGAGCCAGGAACCAGGATTGGGCATGGTTTTTATAGGGAGGTTTCACAAAAGCCCGAGCCCGCCAAGCATCTTTCAAAGTGATTGGATGGTCCCGTGCTCTGAGTATAGGGAAGTTTCCTATTGGTAGGGGCTGTCTTCAGGTCATTGGAATGTGCTGACTGTTTTCTGTAGGGCCAGGAGTTTCTGGTTTTTACCTTAAACGGTTTTTACGTGCTCGGGCTTGTTGAATCTATAGCTTTCTGAGAAGGAGAGTTGCAACATGTCTGGGCATGCCCGGGTTTGCCTAGTCATAGCCCTCAGTATGCGGGAAGGGAAATTTACAATGTCTAAAACTAGAGGCTTGAGACTGAAGAAGGCAGTTTGTGAGAACCAAGCCAACACGACTTGGGCCCTTCATCCAAAACTGTTAAGGTCATCAAAAAAAAAAAGGGAAGCTGGAGATAATTTCACATCAAGATAGGAAAACTAAATAGTGTGGCACCCTGGATGGGATTCTAAGGGAAAGGACAGCTGGACGGTATGTGGACTTTAATAATGACACATCACTGCAGGCTCACTAGGAGACTAATGTCGAGGACAGAAAAGCCGTGTTTATGGCGAATCCATATGCAATCTTTCTAATTTTTTCCTGTAAATCTAAAACTGTTATAGGAACAGGGTTTTTTGTTTTTTTTTTAAGAAAAAGGTCAGGTAGGTAATGTGTAAATATGATTGTGTAAAATATTCAAAAAATAAAAGACCCTCAGCCCACTTTTAGGCGCGTTCTTCCAAATCTCTCTGTTCACCCTATGTGTATATTGATTTGTGTGCTTATGTAAGTGTATTGTTCACAAAACAGCATTGCAGGGGATTTTCTTCTCACAGTAGCTTGGGGTGTCTGCACTGGTGCACCAGGGTCAACCTGGTTCTTCCTTAGGACTGCACGAAGCAGTACCTGGCTCCTTGCCTGAGGGCACGTCTTTTGGACTAGCAAACATTTGCATCTCAAAAGCCCACAGAACCGGAGGGTTGGAAGGAAGGCTGGTGCGACCTTCTATCTACCTAGTGCCCCGCGGGATGGGGAGGGAGCTGAACCCTGTGGCTTCCCAAGGGCGTGCTCTCTAGGACCGTTGTCTTGTTAGGTCTCCAACACGTGCACTCGCAGGCACGTCTCCTTCCCTACTGGACGGTGTGTTTTGGACATGAGTGGATGGGAGAGGGTGAAACTCAGGCCAGAGGTTCCAGAGCCGCAAGGACAAAGCGCACCCCAGACAAAAAAGGAGCAGAGGGTCAGAGTAACAAAAGGGACTCCCCGACTTGTTATTGTCATCATGGGGACGCGGGATCCGTTGTGAAGACCTCTACCAAACCTGCGAGCGGTTCTGGACGCTAGGGAGCTGGTGTCGCCCGGCGCAGTCTCTAGGACACCCTGCTGGGACCCAGCTCCTCTACCCCACGCCTGCGGTGTTCATCTGCAAAGGTCAGCTGCTGCTTCTTCCTGGGTTGTGGAGCCAGTGCTTCTTTGAATACCAGGTTTAAAAATAAATCCTTGCCGGGCGTGGTGGTGGACTCCTTTAATCTCAGCATTTGGGAGGCAGAGGCAAGTGGATCTCTGTGAGTTAAAGGCCAACCTGGTCCACATAGTGAGTTCCAGGCCAGCTGGGGCTACAGGGAGACCCTGTCCCAAAAAGAACAACAACAACAAAAAAATTAAAGAAATAAATCCTTTAGGGTGACATTCCTCTCTGTGATGCCCACTCTCCTGCCTCGGAGCTCTTCAAAGCCAGAATGGTGAAAAGCCACCTTTTACCGTTTCCATTCTTTAAAAAAAAAACAAACAAAACAGGGTCTCCAGTATCCCAGGAGGATGACCTCAAATTCCTTATCCTCCTGCCTCCATCTCCCAAGTGCTGAGATATGCACCACCGTTCCCAGTTCTATGTGGTGCTGGGCCACAAACCTAGGGCTTTCTGCATGCTAGGTGAGCTCTGTACCAACTGAGCTATAGTCCCAGCCTCAACCATTTCTTTTCAGCAAACTTGTTGGAGCCCAGACTTGTGCCAGCAAGGTGTCAGGGCCTGAGGAGGCCCTGCAGAGGTCCTAAACTCTGCCCAGGTCCAGGCCAGGAGTCATCCAGGGAACACCCAGTCAGTGAAAAGAGGCAGAAATAGTGTTCTAGATCTCATTCTGACATTTAAAAGTGATGGCATTCTCACCTATAAAATTGAATGATGTTTTAAAATACATATGCGAGGCATGGTGGCACATGTATTTAATCCCAGCACTCAGGAGGCAGAGACAGGTAGATCTCTGGGAGATTGAGGCCAACCTGGTCTACGTAGCCAGTTCCAGGCCAGCTGGTGCTACAGGGAGACCCTGTCTCAAAAACAACAAAGGGAGAGATGGCTCAGCACCAGGACAGAAAGTTCAGTTCCCAGCACCCACATGGCTGCTAACATCCCTCTGTAACTCCAGTTCCAGGCTATCAATGGCCCTCTTCTGACCTCCATGGGCATTGCGTGACAGGGGTGCACTTACATGCACGCAGACAACACACTCATACACATAAAATAAAAATAATAAA